CTGAGGGAGCACTCAATCACCTCATCCAGATAATTGGTAAAGATGTGGTGACCTTTGGGTGACAACACACCCATCCCAGGAGATACTCATATATGCACACAAAGTTACGCAGCCACCGATTCCAAGCCTATTTTCAGAGCATGGTTTAAAATAGGAGCGGATGCTCAAGAGCATCTCTCAATGCAATGGGCAAATGCCATGGGCCTAACAACCTCTGTGGCCCTGCTTCTCCCCATGGGCAAGTCCCACAGACATAACTCAGCGCATCCCCAGCCCGGGGGTGACACAGGATCTGCAGGAGAAGCTTCAGTGCAAGCAGGCAGCCCGGAGCAGGCTAAGATTAGCAGTCACCCATCTATTATACATGAAAAGCCAAGGCAGCAACAGCCCGCAGGATGGGATGTGGACACTCTCTTCAGCGTAACTGCTCTAATTTTAACAGCCCTGGCCTGGTTTCTCTGCAGGCACATTCAACGGCAGTCAGGCCACATCTGCATTTCCTCCTCCCCAAAAAGTCAAAAAACTGGCGTGTGCACAGAGCACAACAGCCTTCAAGGGCGAGTACGGCACAAAATTATCCCAGTAAGGTCAGGTAATGGCTCTCCACTTCTTCCAGTACGTGGTGAAGGCTGGGAAGAACCAACTGTGTCTGCAGCCTCATTTTATCACAAGGCAGGAATCTGCTGCCTCTTCCACAAAGACTTCCACCCGTGCCAGTGAACAACACATTAAACACAAATTAATTTATTTAAATAATTGAAATGTGTGCTAAGAAAACGCCACCTCAGCCCCATGTCCTATACCCCAGCTCCCTCCCATCCCACCAGGCGAGCGATGGACCAGCGCAGGGACCCGGCCCAAGGCTCTGGCAGCCCCTTCCCTCAGCCCCGCTAACCTGTTTGTGTGCGTGCAGATCAGCACCCGCACGTTGGGCTGCCTGAGGATCTCCATGGTGGCCATGGCCAAGGTGAAGGTCTTCCCTGTGCCGAAAGGCCCGTAGATGAGGAGAGGGGGGACCTGCCGGCTGCTGGTTGCCTGGCCCGTGATGAAGGAGATGGCCAGTTTCTGCTTGCTGTTCCCTTTCTGTGGCGACCCCAGAGAATAGGGGACAGAGCAACTGGCGACATCTGGTAGGACCAGCTTCTCATCCAGCAGGCGATCCACAGCCTGGTGCCACTGCCGGAACAGCAACTGGTCGATTTGGAACTGGATTTCCACCTTGTGGGAGGTGTTCGCCTTGAAGTTCAGCTCCGAGCAGCATCTCTTTGGTATCTGCAGCCAGATGGTCTTCTCCGTGGTGGCTTTATGCTCCACGCCAACCTCGTAAATGCGGTTGTCTATAGGCGGGTCAAGCGCCAGGAAAGCGGTGGGGACGGACCTGCTCAGCAGATACCCCTCGTCCGTGTCCGGGGAGAGGTTGTACGGGGTAGGCACTTCAGCAAACAGCTCGCCGGAGTGGGCAAACTTCATCCCCATGGAGAGGCTCTGCAGCATGGGGGTGAGCGAGATGAGCACCCGCAGGTTGAGCCTGACAGGAGGAAACACCCAAATGAGCCGCGGGGCTTGGGGCACAGCAGCAACCGCCCTCTCCGCTGCAGAGGAGGCATTGCCACCGTACCCAGAGAGGGGCTGCCACCCCCTGAGCACCCAGAGCCAGAAACCATGCATCGAGCTAATTCATGGCCACAGGACCAGACCCATCCCGTCCCTTCCTATCACTGCCCAAGAAACCATCTTTTCATGGCAGGTTTCAATATTTGAAGCTCCCCAAGACCCAAACCAGAAGGGATGGAGACTTCAGTAGCACCATGGCCACCAACGAGCCCTGGTCCACAGCGACCCAAACCCCTTTGGACCCACGCCTGGCACTTACTTGGCAATCAGAGCCTGCATGGCTTCTTCCTCGCGGAAGAGGAAGCTGTGCATCCTGTCGCGATAGTTGAGACGGGTGATGGGGACGGCGGCTCCCCCCTCGCGTTGGTAGTCCAGGGCCAGGGCGGGCGGTTTGTACTTGGATGTCTTCGTCCGTCCTCGGCACGCTGGGAACGATGATGCGGTTCCCCCTGTCCCACCGCACGAAGTTGACGGGGCGGCCGCTGTCCCTGCTGCTGGGGACGTGCTGGGGGGTCTCCCTGCGGCCCACCTTCACCTTGATCTTCTGCATCAGCACGGGGCGGCTGCCAAAGTCGAACACCACCCACTGCTCGAAGACGCCCAGCGTGCAGCACTCCACACAGACCTCCACCAGTGCCGCCGGCGGGGAGGAAGGCAGCGTGGCCACGTGCTCCCCACGAATGTAGTGGAGGCCCCGGGAAAGGCCGTTCCCCGTGAGGTAGAAGTTGGCTCCAGGTTCGCGCTTCAGCAGTGCCACGTGCTGCAGGGTCATCTGCCGGGCGAGGAGAGGACAGAGACATGGTGAGGACAGCCTGGCGGCTGGTGAGGTCCTCCCAGGTCCTCCCAGGTCCTCCCAGCAGCGTTTCCTACTGAAAGCTGCTGCAGAAACCATGCTGGACCCACGGTGCTCTTGCTTATTCCTTGTGCAACCCCACAGCAATTAGTTGAAGCTCTTAAAGAACCCCAGGTTTCAGTTTTATAGCAATTGCACTGGTCTGCTATGAGCAGGAAATCTCCAGCTGGAGAGGACGGTTGGACACAGGCTCTTGTTCCCGACACCCACAAAATCCAGGGCAGGAAAGCTGCTGAAAAAAATTTGTGATGATACGAGGGAGGTGCTGAGGGCAGCGGGGTTCACCCCAGCCCCATCGCACAAGGTGAGACAGGAGATGCAGTGGCTGCACCTCCATGCGCAGCCCCAGCTCAGAAACTGCCTGAGCTGCTTCTAAATACCCAACACGCGTCCTCATCTGGACACCCCAAATCCCTTTCCTTCTGCCCCTTGCAGAAATAATGATTAAATAAATAGTTTTTTTAAAAAACCCAAAGGACAAGGACTCGCAGGCTCCTGCTGCACGGAGCTGGGCTTACCTGGGAGTGGACCTTGAACTTCCAGCGGTACCGCATCCTCCTGTCCTCCGACTGCACCTGCAGGGGCTGCTCACACACCACCTTGACACCCTCGACGTGCTCGGCCATCTGCAGGGGGCACAAGAGGAGCGGGGCTGAGGACAGGGATGCACCACAGAGCCCTCCATGGGTGCAGCTCCATTCTTTCCTTCATGCCAACCTCCTCTCTTGGTCCCTACCCACTGCTGCTCAGCATCCCCACGCAGCATCCTTGGGAAGCCAAAGGACCCAGAGCAGAGCAGCGTGGCCACTCTTGGGCTGCTGTCTCAAAAGGGGTGAGGAAACAAGGATGCAGCGTCCCTTTCCGCATCAGAAAGGTGGGTGGTGGGCTCCGTTCCCTGGCTCCTACACCACTGGGGTCTCCCGCCCCAGTCACTACTCACAATCAACACCTCGTTGGAGCACATCCGATACTCAGCGATGAGCCGGTCCTGGTAGGACAAGAGCCCTTCCTTTAGGGCTTGCTTCTTCTTCTTCGCCGCAACCTTCACCCTCTGGATCCACTCCTGCAGCTCCTCGGCTGAGTGCGCCTTGGTGCAGCCACTGCCCATCTCGCACACGTCCGCTCTGTCGGGAGAGAAGTGGCCGGGGTGGCATGGGGGGACTGTAAGGGGCCACCCCCTGCCCCTGCCCTCTTCACAAAGATGCTGGAGGGAGTGGAGCATCTCCTGCTGAGGAGCGGCTGAGGGAGCTGGGGGTCTTGAGCCTGCCTGAGGGGTGCCCTCATTCCTGGGGATCCATGGGGAAAGGGCAGTGTCAGGAGGAATGAGCCAGGCTCTGCTGTGGAATGGCCAATGGCAGGACAAGGGGCAATGGTCCCAAGCTGGAGCACAGGAGGTTCAAGCTGAAGATGAGGCCAAAGTTTGTGAGTGTGAGGGTTCTGGAGCATGGCCCAGGCTGCCCAGAGAGGTTGTGGAGTCTCCTTGTGTGGAGACACCCAAAGCCCTGGCCGTGTTCCTGTGTGACTGCTCTGGTGATCCTGCTCTGGCAGGGGTTGGACTGGGGGAGCTTTCCAGGTCCCTTCCCACTCCTCATATTCTGGGATTCTTCCCCACAGATGCCTTACCTGCTACACAGTGAGAACTTGGTCAGCCCGAACGGCGGGGCACGGTGCACCCACTGCACGGAGCTGTCGGCCGACAGCATCTGCATGTGCTCGACGGAGGAGCAGTGGCTCTCGAAGCTCTCCAGCGAGCTGAAGGTGACGAGGCAGAGCCGGCAGTAGAAATGCATCGGTGGTGGAGGTTCGCTCTTGGTGCCACCGGTCCCTGCGGCCAGCACCAGGTCAGCGCGCACCAGGCCGTGCTCCCTCTCGGCCTCCCACACCGCCATCTCCACGTCGCTGTGGGCGTACTGGCAGCGCTGGGGGCCGTGCTTGCAGGCCTGGCCCCGGGACACGAATCTGCAGTAGCTGAGGGTGGGGATGAAGTCGGGGCATGGCCGGATGGC